TGGTTGCTAATTGCTCTTTCTATGGCTACACATTTCTTTGCCTGTTTCTTCGCTTCTTTATATGAGTCTTTGTCTTCATCTAGTTGAGAGCTTTGCTATTTCTTAAAGCGGTTTTTCTTATTCGCTAGTCTTCTTCACATTGTCATTCCACCAGTTAGGATCCTTCTCATTTCTGGGAGGCCCTTTGGAGACTCCCAGGATTTCTGCTGCCTTAGCTCTACAATGCGCTTCAAACTTAGACCATATATCTTCGGCGTTTTCGTAGTTCACTCCAATATCAGAGTCTAGGTATTCCGTTATTACACCTCGCAGTAATTCGCCCTTAGAGCTATTCAGATCTTTCCACTTAGTACGCGGTGTTCTATCTACAAAAGTTTTTATAGGTTTGAACAGAGAGTAAACGGCTACGAGTATACGGTGTTGTGATGTTAGAGACTCTCCAGGGATTACTTTGCAGTCCTTGAACTTTTGTTTGGCATCCATGTCGGCGATAATATAGTCTATTTGAGACACTCGACCGCACATTTATACGTAATTAGATGTTCTTCTTTCTTTTGGAAATTTGTGTTTATCAGAGTTAAAGAGTGTCTGGCTGCAAATTCTAGAATGTCTTCTCCCTGTTTATTTGCCTCGCCTAGTCCAAAACCGCCATGTACCGCTCGTATGTAACTTTTAGCTCCTACGTGGCCATTTAAATCCCCCTCCTATTATTTTACGTTCATTTAATGGTATTTCATGTATTAGATCGTCCAATTCTTCCCAAAATTGAGATTTCTCGGACTCCTCGCAACCCGTCTGTGGTGCGTATACTGATAAGGTGTTAATTATTTGTTGATCATAGTGAATTTGGAGTCGTCTTCCGGTGGGGGCTCGTTTTTAAGGTATCGCTACCCCTGGGATCGTTTCCTATGTCTCGAGATTTTGAACCTTTCCATTTAGTTTCTTGTATGCAGCAAATGTTAGTGCCTCTTTTCTTTAGGATTTTGCTTAATTCTTGGCTCCTTCCTGTAAGAGATCCCAAGTTCCATGTTGCCAGTCTTATTTTGTTAATAGTATGTAAATGCGAATGTTTGTTCTTGTCTAAGTAATCGTCGCTTCGGGGGGACGCCCTAGCAGTTTTGACATTGAGTATCTGATTCATCGTATCGCATTTGCGTCGCTTGGGGGGTATGCCCTAGTATTTTTGCCCTGTATTTTTGTGCTTTCATGTGCGGAGAAAAATGTTTTCGCTATTTGTTTTACGGCTGGTTGCCACCTGACGCCAATGCAGTAACCCTTCTGAAGGGCTTGGGAGCCGCCGTTGGACTGAGGTCTCTTCCGCCGCCATCCCTACTACATCACCCTGCATGGTGTTGCAGCTCCAGTGTAACCTGGGGTCTCAATATGTGAGAGCAGCTTTCCACTGGGTTTGTGCTTCTTCCGCCTGCTCCGCCGTACCGATAACTATTATCTTCGCCTTAACAGCAGTTGAAGTCTTCTCCCGTTACCCTGGGTAAGGGACTGTGTTATACCCCACCGCACTGGGTCCCTGCCTGAACTTGGTCACCAATTTACTCCGGCCTACTGAAGTAAACGGCGCCCACCCCCGCGGCGTGGACGCGCCAGGCAGGAATTACCCTAGTGCGAGATAGAGAGCTGAACATAGGCCTATGTTCAGCAGTGGACTTGTGAAGGGCTGTAATGATGATGAATGATGAGATAGAGAGGAGGCCTCTACCTCCCCCAGAGCCGGGCTCATGGTTGTGTCTGAAGCCACAACCAAGGGCAATTTTAATCAATGTGCAGTGTTCGCGTAAATATAAGAAATCATTATATATACGCTTTATTAGTATAATTATATTTTACTTACTTTCATAAAGACTTAGTTGTTAAAACGAATACATTACCCTATGAAGGAATTACTAACTCTTGGAATTGAGTAACTGGTAGCTTGTGCTTGAATTTACAGAATGTACATCACTAATTTTAATAAAAGATTTTTGCTTTTGTGTATATTTGTAAAATTTTTAGGGATGGGCCGAATATGAATTTCACCGAATACTAATATTCGGCCGAATATTCAGTAAAATTTTTACCGAACTGAATATTCGGCCGAACATTATTCGTCAGGATATCCTCGGATCCTAACCAGTTTATATCGAAACTTGTTACCGTAAAGCGCGCGGGATTAGCACCGAAACCTGCCTCTCGCTCCCCGCCACACCTGACAGTTATTGCCTCATCTAGTACTAAGCAAATTGCCTGCACATGCTTAAGTTTTTACTATTCTTGTGATAAAAAAATATTTTGTTGTTTTATTCTTAGTTAAAGTTACAGCATATAATATACGTCCCACTCCTGGGCACAGGCCTCCGTTCATTTCTGAGAGGGTTTTAGGGCAAGGAACTGTCCGCTGCGCTGCCTTAATATGCTTGTTGGCGAACTTCACATGTCTTCGAAATATTTTTTTTCTTATTTCTCAGACTAGCAGGTTTCCTCACGATGGTTTCCTTCACCGCTGAGCACTTCAATCAGCACTTAAAATTGCAATTAACAATTTCATCAGCTTTTTTCTTTGGCCATCTTGAGAGAAAAGAAGTTTTCTTCCTTGCACAACTTCCTCGTGGAACCGACTACCACCAGAGATAACTCCGGAGCGATACGACTTAGGGATCTTCAAGAAAAGAGCCTACTCCTTTTTAAAAGCCCGGAAACGCAATCGTAATTCCCCTGGTGTTGCAGTTGTTCACGGGCGGCCGTAATTACTTACCATCAGGTGAGCCGTATGCTCGTTTACACCCTCTCGTATAAAAAAGTGGGGTCGTCATTGCCATTATTATTTTCAATTGCAGAACTATAGAAATATTGCACGGTACTTACTGACAAAAGTTTATTTAGTCAAGTAGTATACTAAATATGAATAATTACTGTTTATATAAACTACACGTTTTATAAACTATGATTTTTTTTTTGGTTGCATAATTATATCTAATTTTTGTTGCATGGTTATAATATATAAATATTTTACTATAATGTGTATGCGGAATTGCCACGAAACGTATGTAAATACCTATGTAAATAAATTTCTTTTTTCTTTCTGTGTAAATACATGCTTTTATTCCTCCCTCACCTTATTGGACAGCGCTTCACCTTGGTTGTTGATATTCCACGCATTCAAACCAAACGGTTTGCTTTGTCTTTTGTAACCGCGTACACCAAAGTTGTAGAATAATATATCGGCATATTTATTTCCGTCTGAATACAATCATGGCGTCTTCAAAGCAAGAGTGAACAGGCTTTTGTTAAGCTAAGACAGTGTGATTTACCGTCTAGGGCTTCATCACAACTTACCACCAGGTTGGATTACGGTCAAGCACTGGCCTATAATAGGTATAAAAAAAACTCAGTAGCCTTTCATAAATTTTCAGCGATTTTAGTTCTAACACTTTTATAAAAGCAAGGACGATAAACGAGCGCACAGACTACCTGATGATAAGCTAATACTCAGATACACCTTCATTTATGTTCAACTAAGAATACAGATTTCTTGACGCTTCTTGCACCAGTAAAAGCCTTCACTGGATCTTTTCCGGTTGCGCTGACCCATTTGTGCTGCAACCTAAACATTCTATTCTCTAGAGTCCTCGTGTTTTCGAGGGAGGGAGGGTGCTCTGTATGAATGTAAAACGAAATTTTATTTTGCGTTATCTTCAAGAAGAGGTGACGGAAGCGGCCACAGTGAGCAACTTCGTAAGTATCGGAAGTGTGTTAATGATAATGCAACAACATGGGAGATATTGACTTAGTAGATGGATTGCTGGCAGTGTGTCCATCTTAAGATGGAATTGCTCTAATAAGAACCAATAAATGGACCATTATATCCAAATTACTTATGCTGGATTTGCAAGTGATGAACACATGGTTAAATTATCGGATCCAAGTTATTAAAATCAGAACCCTCGCGACTGAAGTAGGACCATGGGGATATTTTTAAAGAAAGTTGGGAGAACAAATGCTTGCGGAAAACACAGTAAGCTCTGATGAAGAAATCGACGGATGTTCAGGAGAGAAATCAGCAATCCAATCCAATCCAAAAGCCATAAAACTTGGTTTCGTTATCTATCCCTATCCTTAACTTGACACACTCAAAAAGCAGACAGTACCGGCATTGTTTATGGGTTGTTTTAAATAATGTAAGACTTATTAAGTGTTCCAAATGTGGTATGTATTTACGTTTGATTATATAGACAAAGTGAAATAACACATCATATTATACAATTACTTAAAGTATTAACAAAAATGCTATAATTACTTAAATGTAAACTCCGCATGCATATAGCTAATAGTATACATAAACTGAATATGATATAATATTGTACAATCAACGTACATTAAAAAATATTTCTTAAAAAATATCTAGACCTGTCATACCAATTGCGGCAAAACATGTTCATTTCACATTATTAAAAGTCTCATGTATAATCTTTTTAGGCAAATAAAGTTCCTCATCACCAGTCCAATGCTTTAAATATACCATAGAATTATTAGTCTAATTACTCTATGACATATACCTCACTTTAAGTACAGAATAAATAATAGTACTACGTACTAAACTAGCACAATGTGGAATATATTGGCGAGAGCGAGAGGTTCATTTCAGCATGTGTACTAGTCGTAACAAGTCCATTACGGCCGCTATTATATCGGACGTGTGCCGTTGACAGATCATTGATTAGTGGATGTTGTTTATGTTTTTTTTTTCGTAATAGTGAGGTTATTAGTTAAGCAACATAAATAATAAACTCTGTAAATATTTCTCATTTGAATAATGCTTTCAAGATAAAAGTTTTTTCTGTCGTATAATAATAATAATAAAGGCCGTTTTATTGGCGCCAAGCTTCTCACGGCTGGAAGTGCTACTAGACGAAGTAGCGCCATACCAGCCAGAAGAATAAGAATTAAGGATCGTATTGCCAAGGCAAGGACCCTAATCGGCAGATTGATGAAGACATGAAGCATTCATGGCCGGCAATTATAGTGCAAGGATAGTGCGCACCGTCCGGATGGCGTTTGCTGGGACAAATATCAGTTTGTCCCAGCTGATTAAAACGCAAAAACTGACGGAGCGTATAGACGACCTAAAGCAGAAAATCGCTGCTTGGAGTAAGTGCATTCAGCGATATAACAAGAGGTCAACATGGTCAAAGCCTAAGAAGTACATACAGTTAATCATCGCGTCTTTAATGTTGTGAGAAAAGCCGAAATAAAAAAAATACGTGTGGCACTCGGTGACTGCCGCGGTAAAGCTATTGCATAGCATTTTTTATCAACTTATGCAATTATAATTACTTATTTATTTTATTTATGCAGTTAAGTCCTTGATATTAAATCAAGTTACACTTTTTGAGCGTGGTGACCGATAATAAAACAATTTTTTTTCTCTTATTAAATAAATGAGAAGTTAATATTGTTTAAAATATTTTTAATATCTTACAATACATGTAGGTTATTCAGGAATTTTTATCATTGAGTTAGCAGCTAGAGTACACGCATACGTCTAGTCGCACGCACACAAACACCGTGCCGAACTCTGCCGAGTACCGAACTCTGCCGAGTGCCGAAGTCTGCCGAACTGAAACGACGTTAGACGATGCACGGCTTTCAACGCCACACCTCCGTGCCCGTTGGAGTGGGGGAGCGTGAGGTTTTTTTTCGTTACGGAATTTCTGGATTCGGTCCCCGCGCTCAAGGCCCGTGATAGAAGCTATGCAATAGCTTAACAATAAGTTGCTAGGATTGTCTGACGGGAAGTAATAACAATAGGTACTATAGAACAACGTCACGTTTACACAAATTAAATAACTTAATCACACAATTATTGTTTAGATATAATAAAAACATATTATAGGACCCACAGTTTTTTTTGACACATATTTTTTATATGTGGTAGAGCCACGCTGCATCTATATTAAGGTCGAACCGACCGGGAAAGTACCACGCTCTTACAGAATACCAGCGTTAAATAGCAGCTTAATACTGCTGTGTTTCGTATTGTGAGTGTAGAGATCCGGAGACGCTTTTCACTGGAAATGAGGTATTCGATCTTAGTCCTCAGGGATGACAACGCATCTGCGTTTTTATTCTTAATCGACGATAAATGTAGAAGTTTATGGACCACAGCATCCACTTACCAACAGTTGGGCTGTGTGCTCGTTTGTCACCGTTATTAAAAAAGGGTTTACCTTTTCAGTTTATTTCCGTGACATGAAAAACCTAGCGGACAGCTCCCGAGCGTAAGCGCTCCGCCGCATCTCTTTCCGCACCGCACCGCACCGCACCGCACCGCACCGCACCGCACTGCACGATTGCTATATCTAGATGGCCTTAGATGACCGACTGTCAGTAGTTAGACTGTGACACTGTTCAACCAGAATCATCTCTTCCAGATTGATCAAAAGACGCTCTTATAAACCATTGAAGCGACTTATGTTATGTGAAACGGGCCCAACACTGAATCAGCGTAATGTCGCATTCTGGCGTTGTCTGTGGTCAGAGCCCGTAAAACACAACAAGGACCTTTAAACGGAATTTATGGTATTTCAGTGTGCGAATATTACGCTCATTGACCCCGTCATCATAACGCCGGATTAGGTAGCTGTGGTGATCCATAGGACCCCGAACTGGAAATGTCCGGGTCTCAATGGGCTGCATCGCTACTGGCTGAAGGACTTTGTCGTTTGTGCTTGTTTCACAGTTTAATAGAGGCTCTCGGCTAGAAGTCGCTCCCGAGCCTCTTCACTACCAGAATCACTCATTAGGTTCCAAAAGCCGAGATACTACAGACCTGTGCAAATTACCGCCCCATTACGTATCTACCCAACATAATATAAGACACTGATATCCATTTTGAGTGCGCGAATCACTCGGCATTTCGATGGAATTCTCAATTGTTTGACTCGACCGGAAAACAACCATCCTCTTAACAGTGGCGAAGCTTCCATTAAAGCCGAAAAGCCGGGCTTGCCTTATTAAACCTCAATCAATAATATCAACTAATAAAATAACTCGTAAAATGTTTCAAGCTATTTCAAATTTCCCGCGCACTCCACTGTTCGACACATGTCGACCGATGACCTCGTATTGCCTTAGCGATACTGCTGCTGTCATAAAAAATGAGTTTTAATAGAGCTAATAGTTGTCTCCCTCGCTCGCGTGGGCTTTTTACGGGGCTTTCGAGAAGATGATCGCTCTCTTTCTAACCTATGGCAAAATAGTCTATAATGAAATATTACTACGATTGTATATATAGCAATTAGTATAGAGATTTAAAGCCAGGCTTTTGGGAATAAATTTGTTAAAAGTGGAGGCGCGCGGGCAATACGTTTGCAAGTTCATTTCACGTTTCAATGTTTATTTACTCTGTGTGCTTATCTTAAGCGATTTTAATATTACGAGTTCAAAATGTATGCTTTTTTAAAGATTTTTAATGAAAATGGAGGATAATAGTGTTCCTTGTGATGAATTGAAGTGTGTTAAAGTGATAATCGGAGAGGAAATCTTTAAACTTTGTTGAGATAATACACAAGGTTAAGAGTGTATTTCTTATCAATTATCGCAATTAAAAACAGTTATTGGTACAATTAAAACGTTCACCAACACTTTACGTGGACGTAATTAAATCTTTCCCTAAGAAAGCGAGACGATTCCACTTATCTTGTCTTATCTCTTATCCATTAGAATGTAAATAATTCTTTTTTTTTAATTTTGTACATTGTTTGTACTTTGTTCGTGTTTTACTTTTGTTCATGTATTGTATTGAATGAAAATATTTTTTTTCTTTCGCTTATACAAACCCAAACGGCTTTCTTCAAAGCCACCGAAGCTATGCAATTGCTGATATGTAATACAATCTATCTAGCAGTGGTATGCCTTCTGTGTGCTTTGTTAAACACGTCCTTGACAGCACTGAATATGAAACTGAATCGTGGAGACAGATCAAGATTGATGTATTTTTACAAAACTCTTGGAGCTCTAGCTTCGCCACTGCTTACACTCTTACTCTTACAGAATACTAATATAAAATAGCAGCTTAATTGCTATAAGTCGTACGGTTATTGTAAATAAAAAACCTTTTTAATGGTAATGAGGCATTATATTTTATCCTTCAAGCGACCCATATGTATCTGAAGGTATCTAAGAGTCACAGATCCACATAATGACTTTGCTCATTTGTCACCCTCATTCTACAAAAAAAGCCAATAATTTAAGTTTTCGTTCGGGGTGTTTATTAGTGCGCAGTTTACGTATGTAAACCATTTCACAGATACTATAGATTTGCGTTTGGAAATCCTAGTGATTATGGGATAAAAATTTAAAGAAATAATAGGAGCAAAGAAGAGATTACAACGCTTTGCCAGCTATCAATTTTTCAGCTTTAGAAGATTTTGAAGAGATTGAAAATCTTGTCTACGTTTAAAAAAACGAAATTTTAATTTATTACTTCGATAAGTAAAGTGTTTTTCATTTATTTATTTCCTGCTCTTGAAATATATGGCATCGGCTAGTAATATTACTAGGTAATATTTCTTCAGCTCTTGTTTTCTTTCAATGTCAATGAAATGTTTTTGGTTGCGGCCACAGAACCCTCTTACTCTTAACCGAGAGTTTGCGGCCATAATATTTACATAGTAGAGCCAGCTAAAGGGTTTTCCGATAGGGACGGATCGATGTTGATAGGCTGTGGCGGCTACATTGTTTTGGGAAAACCTGTCAAATCTATTGTTTATTATTTAATTACTGATGCCAAATCATCATGGCAAGTTACACGACTGAGCAACGCCTCAAATCGATAAAACTACATTATCCAAATAAGTGCTCGTTAGTGCAAACGTTGCGCTCGTTACGTTGGCGTTACGATAGAATGAGAATTCTTATTCTATTTATAGCAGGATTACCATTCGCAAAAGTGACGCGAATAGGCTACCAAGGTCGTGCGATTTGACCCCGCCGGACCACTTCTTGTGGGGTTTCTGAAATCACAGGTCTATGCCAATAAGCCTCAATCGATCGATGCCTACAAAATCAACATAACGCAGGCCATCCCTCAAATTCAGCCAGATTTATGTTGCAGCTACAGCACAAATAATAACCTAACGCATGGATCAACATGACATGAACATTATCCTATCCCTAGGTTGCGTCGTAAGTAGGCTACTTGCCAAATTTGCACACTTATTACGGGTTAGCATTAGCAGTTTTTATTATTTTGAATTTTTATCAGGAAGGTGTGTCTGCCATCATGTTTCATAACACTCTGTCGCCTATAACGACACACATGGGGTGAAATGGAAGTTAATTTACTACGTAGCAGCGTCAAATACGAATCATTTCAAGATTTAAAAATACTCAATAATACAAAATTACAGGTTTAATTTAAAAGCAACGAATCACATAAAGCATTTGTCGTTTCAGAAAAGTGTTTATTTTCCCAGACAAAGCTGAAAGGATATCTTAAACTCAGTGTCCCCAAGGGAATGCAATTGTATTACCCGTTCCCGCTTCGTATTATGCATTGTTTCCTTATCTATATTTTGTTTTAAAAAATATGAATTACTCAAAAACGCAGTTGCACCATTCTTCATCTTTGTTATCAGGTTATTACAGTTGCTGGAGAAGGGCCTCTCCCACTGCAGGGAGGATATGCCTTATTCACTACTCCTGGCAAGAGGATTGGCAAACGCAGTGCTGGATATATAGAGCCTTTGATGCCGCTGGTTCCTCACTGGTTACTAGCATATACGACGACGAACACAAGTAAAAGAGATGTCAGTATATCCACTACCCAATACTGTGCCGTGAGTGTCGTGAGAGGAAACCAACAGAAACAAACCAGAAGATGGCCAACAGCATCTCTCTAATAACAGCTAGAAAAACAGATGTTATTAAAACTTTAGTGAGGTGAACAAAACATTCAGAAATAAGTTTCTTGGTAACATTTTAATAATTGTTTTGTAATATCATAGCACAATTCCTTATCGTCGTGCAGGTGTTCAATAAGGTACTCCTATTTCAATACGTTAAGGCTCGCACCGTTATATACTAGGAAAAATAAGAAATTATTATATATAGTATGTATGTTTTGTAATGTTGAAATAAATGTTAAAAACTTTCGCCACTTATTTCAAAATTTTTTTACCTTAAAAAAAATTAAACATGAAATATTTCTTAGATGATTATAGAACTAAAGCCAAAATACATTTTCTTTAGCGCTGGGAGAAATGTCCTTATTTTTAACAAATAATACTTAATATTTTTAATTATCATACAATTCTTTGAAAACATATAAAGACATAAGTAACACTTTAAATGTAAGTTTTATGTTACTAAATTACATTAAATCTACACGTTATGTTGGAAAACGTATAATAATGGACTTGTGTAGTGTGTACACGCATTCAATTAATTTCGGTGGACATAATAGATCTTAATAAACACACAACTTAATGGACACCTTACTGTTAAGATAGTAGAAAGCGTTAATTACCTAATTTCAACTTAATTTGCTTAAAATATTATTATCGTATATGGATATTAATACAAGTAAAATGAATGAACATTTAAATGATAATTTTGAATTTTAAATATTGTTAATATTACTTTTACATAGATCTAATAGAATTGCTAGAAGTATGATATTAGTTTATTATATAACATAATTGAAGATCACTATGACGGCTATTTATTTAACAATTTTTGCTACAAGTCATTAATTTATTTAAACTTTCATAAAAATGAGTTTAATTTTATGGGTAGTTTGATCCTACGTGTATTACATAAAGGTTCATAGTTTTCGAAACGAAACAAAATTAATTAAAAGTTATAATAATAGCAAATTGATTAACAAATTGATACGTATTGGTAAGTCTAATTTTAATAACTAATGATTTTATGGTCTAAAATTATATCTACAAATTCTAAAAAAAAAATAACAAGAAAAAGATTTTTTTTAAAAGTGATTAGTTTAAATATACCATATGTTAAAAGTCTTGTAAATTTCTACAAATTTACGCGAAAATTTAATTATCGTATTTGTTTTTTATTTACGTGTGGCTGTGTCAATCGATCCCAGTAGTTATTACGTCTGAAACTTATTATATACCATTTTGCATTAATAACACTAATACAGAAATACAATTAGCAATAATAACAGAAATACGAGTACAATTAGCAATTAGCATTAATAACACTAATACAGAAATACAATTAGCAATAATAACAGAAATACGAGTACAATTAGCAATTAGCATTAATAACACTAATACAGAAATACAATTAGCAATAATAACAGAAATACAATTAGCAATTAGTATTAATAACACTAATACAGAAATACAATTAGCAATTAGTATTAATAACACTAATACAGAAATACAATTAGCAATTAGTATTAATAACACTAATACAGAAATACAATTAGCAATAATAACAGAAATACGAGTACAATTAGCAATTAGCATTAATAACACTAATACAGAAATACAATTAGCAATAATAACAGAGAAATACAATTAGCAATTAGTATTAAATAACACTAATACAGAAATACAATTAGCAATAATAACAGAAATACAATTAGCAATTAGTATTAATAACACTAATACAGAAATACAATTAGCAATTAGTATTAATAACACTAATACAGAAATACAATTAGCAATTAGCATTAATAACACTAATACAGAAATACAATTAGCAATAATAACAGAAATACAATTAGCAATTAGCATTAATAACACTAATACAGAAATACAATTAGCAATAATAACAGAAATACGAGTACAATTAGCAATTAGCATTAATAACACTAATACAGAAATACAATTAGCAATAATAACAGAAATACGAGTACAATTAGCAATTAGCATTAATAACACTAATACAGAAATACAATTAGCAATAATAACAGAAATACGAGTACAATTAGCAATTAGCATTAATAACACTAATACAGAAATACAATTAGCAATTAGTATTAATAACACTAATACAGAAATACAATTAGCAATTAGTATTAATAACACTAATACAGAAATACAATTAGCAATAATAACAGAAATACGAGTACAATTAGCAATTAGCATTAATAACACTAATACAGAAATACAATTAGCAATAATAACAGAAATACAATTGCTTAGTATTAATAACACTAATACAGAAATACAATTAGCAATAATAACAGAAATACAATTAGCAATTAGTATTAATAACACTAATACAGAAATACAATTAGCAATTAGTATTAATAACACTAATACAGAAATACAATTAGCAATTAGTATTAATAACACTAATACAGAAATACAATTAGCAATAATAACAGAAATACAATTAGCAATTAGTATTAATAACACTAATACAGAAATACAATTAGCAATTAGTATTAATAACACTAATACAGAAATACAATTAGCAATTAGTATTAATAACACTAATACAGAAATACAATTAGCAATAATAACAGAAATACGAGTACAATTAGCAATTAGCATTAATAACACTAATACAGAAATACAATTAGCAATAATAACAGAAATACAATTAGCAATTAGTATTAATAACACTAATACAGAAATACAATTAGCAATTAGCATTAATAACACTAATACAGAAATACAATTAGCAATAATAACAGAAATACGAGTACAATTAGCAATTAGTATTAATAACACTAATACAGAAATACAATTAGCAATTAGTATTAATAACACTAATACAGAAATACAATTAGCAATAATAACAGAAATACAATTAGCAATTAGTATTAATAACACTAATACAGAAATACAATTAGCAATTAGTATTAATAACACTAATACAGAAATACAATTAGCAATAATAACAGAAATACAATTAGCAATTAGTATTAATAACACTAATACAGAAATACAATTAGCAATTAGTATTAATAACACTAATACAGAAATACAATTAGCAATTAGTATTAATAACACTAATACAGAAATACAATTAGCAATTAGTATTAATAACACTAATACAGAAATACAATTAGCAATTAGTATTAATAACACTAATACAGAAATACAATTAGCAATTAGTATTAATAACACTAATACAGAAATACAATTAGCAATTAGCATTAATAACACTAATACAGAAATACAATTAGCAATAATAACAGAAATACGAGTACAATTAGCAATTAGCATTAATAACACTAATACAGAAATACAATTAGCAATAATAACAGAAATACGAGTACAATTAGCAATTAGCATTAATAACACTAATACAGAAATACAATTAGCAATAATAACAGAAATACGAGTACAATTAGCAATTAGCATTAATAACACTAATACAGAAATACAATTAGCAATAATAACAGAAATACGAGTACAATTAGCAATTAGCATTAATAACACTAATACAGAAATACAATTAGCAATTAGTATTAATAACACTAATACAGAAATACAATTAGCAATAATAACAGAAATACAATTAGCAATTAGTATTAATAACACTAATACAGAAATACAAAGTAACTACCTATCTCACTTTTAGATTATCTTACATTTATCATACTTTTGAATTTGGTCGGGATGGTTGGGTTGGTTGGGGATGGAGATGTTTTGGGGATCTACTTATCGTCTCATTTTAGTTAATTAATAGGCTTTTTTCTGTAATATTTGTACGTACTTTCTTTTCTTTCATCTTAATATTTTGACCTATAGCTAGCTTTATTTAGACGCTGGGAACTAGAGTATTAATTCACTTCATTCATATTTTATTTCGTGATATTTATCACGTGGGTACTTTATACATACATTTGGGCCCCCATTTACTGGGGTATTATATTTATTTCATTTTATTGATATATAAATATCTATTTTTTTATTAAAATATATTTTATAAGGTAATTATCCCTTGGGTTGTGCTCACAACCCTGAGATCTACGTCTTTTAAGTCACTTTTAAACGACTCCAAAAATTGTCACAGAGAAAAACTATGTTCGCACTTCGCACCATGATCCAACGAAGGATGTGACCTCAATGTACCATTATTAAGGGTAACAATTTCAAGACTTCTCTGGTCCAAAACAGTACTAATATGAGTAAACTTATGTACGTCACTTGTACTGAAGGCGTTGTTCCCTAGTACCCATAACTCCTGAATTTATAATCCAATCACGGAAACATACCCTGCTTGAGGACTATATTCTTTACCAGTGATGGACGTTCCCGTGTCTCTCCATTACTTATTTAACAAGGTAAACCTTTGTTTATATAACTATATACTATCATGCTCCACTTTCATACTAGCTACCATTATTCTTGCTCACTTTGAACACAATACTCGAACTCTAAGCCTCATCAAATATTTGGATGATCAGTCCAATACTGATGAAACTTAGGAAGTCAATGATACATAATCACACTTTCGAACGTTCCTTCTTTAATTCCTGATCTCTCTTAAATACATACCATTTAATTTGTACAAAGGTGTGCTATTATGTTTTTAGTCGATTTCCCTTTCCGTTTATATCTCTGTTATGGAACATACTCATTAAGCCTTCTCTTAATTATGACATTTCTTACTTTGCTGTTATTCATTATATTATTAATCTTTATTGAAATGCTACTTAGATGTATAATGGATAAGATTATAAATTTATAATAGTGTTATATCGCTTCAAAAATCATCTCCTAATATTCCGTCAGCAGAACACGCTAGTTTCTTAAAAACATAAAACTTTTGCCTAAAAAACATTATTGCTCACTAAGCCTAAACATAAATATCTTTCGGAAGCTAATTTATCACTTACGTCTTTAATAGTAATTTTATCATATTATAATTTGTTATCGTATTGTCAAGTGGCCACTCATGTTTCAATACGCAAGTCTTCCACTGCAGTCCACTATCTACTAAAAGACTTGATGAATGATTTATTTCTGTACTCGAATTGACTATGTTACTTACATTGTAATTTAAAAATTATTTATCGCTATTCTCTACGAAAAAAGAAATTCGCCATTCGGTGCGTTTTGAGTGCACTCCTTCTCTACCGCAGGCTCTGACTGTGTTTGAATAACACGTCTCGAGTATGAATTAGAGGATGAGCGATTTGTATGCCGACCTCTCTGAGGTCCACGCTGGAATCTATTGCGTAAACTATCTCGGACTAGCTCCGTACGAGGCGTATTATTATGATCACGAGCAGGTGAGTTGCTAGGGTGACCATGATGGTTGTAATTCTGATTATAATTATCTCTGTATAAATTATCATGACCACGCTTATTACTGAATCGGTTACAACGCTGTTGCCTAAACTAAATTGATGAAAGTTGCTCAATTTTGGAAGCGAATTTTTCAACGGTCCTACGACCCTGTTTGTTACTAAAAACACTACACTATACTTTAGTAATACAAACACAGCTGTAAGGTCACTGCAGATTTCTTTTAAAGCAGATGTTTACTCACGATTGTAACTAAAGGGTTCACGTTATTATAATTATTTCAAAACGCGATTTCGCACTGTCTGAGAGCCTGGTTTTTAATACAAAGTTTGTTAGTTGCTTATTACCTTTATTATTGAGCATACTACTGTACAATAAAATAATGTCTATTAATTGTTTAGTTACGTTTTCCTGGTTATTTACAATTGGAAGTAAGGGAAGACAATTGGCTGAAGGAGGTTCTACTTGCAATAAAAGAATAATTTTCTTATATGTGGAATGTACGTTCTTTATACACTTATTTATGTGCTACAAGTTCTTAATGTTTACGTCAGAATTTTCGATTTTAACTTAGGTTTTTGACGAAATATACTTAAAAATACTGTACAATTTTGTTGCTGTAATAACTTTATTTTTAGTGATTTCTGAGCGTTCTCTACGATGAGGGCTAATTTTAACTAAATATTCCTTAATTTCCTCTAAATCATTTTGTAATTTTTGCAATTCTAACAAAGACATAACGTTAAAACACTAGCAGATATAAACAAAATATTATCTTATTTAATCGGTAAAAGGACAAAATACGGCTTACTCGATTAACCTATTTGATTTCTATGGGACTTCGGCGACGAGGTGTGTGCATCGGTGCGGTTCGATGTCGGACCGGGCACGAAGGCGGTTGTTGGGGCTCCAGGATATGCTGTCATCTACTTGAATTGGGCCGAGTGTTACCCAGTACACCTCCTGATATGCGTAGTGCGGCTTAAATGCGGTCAGGGCGGTTCAGGTTGTCCGTCGAGATGGCGTTCAATTCTCGTCTTAAGTTTCTGATGGATGCTTGATGGCACTTCTTTTACGACGTAGTACATGATGGCTTCAGCTACCAGAGAGACGGTGATAAATGTTAGGATTTCTCATGTGTAGTATTTCAAATTTTCCTGTTGCAGTTTGGTTATGGCTGATGCTGCTCCGTAGACGTTCTGGGCTGACTACTTGTTCTTTCGACTAGCTTCTTCCCATCTTTGTATTTCTTGTACTTGAGCCTTATTTCTTGATTTCTTAGGACTTCCAACATTCTCTTACTCCCCGCGGTATAGTACTAAGAACGCTGGCTGCATTGGGCATTGAATGGGCTATACTGAGCCTTTTGAGCGAGAAAATATCTAACCCCTTTTATTATCAACTGCGACCATAAGTCACCTTTATCGCACGTGGACTCTACAGACCGCTAGTCTCTACAGAGAATGGCACAAATATTATTATATCTCGAAGACACATTTTTGTGCCACTTAGTTCAGCCAATTCTTTTGCCGCCCGACTTTAACTGAGCTATAACGATCTTGAAAGTTTGTTATATAATTGCTTTGTAATTCTGTTATTTATTACTTTTGAATATTTTAAGCAAGTTCCCATCAATATAAGTTTAATGAGTTTCTAAGGACTATAATAAGCTTTCAATGTATTATAATAATAATGAATGTTTGAAATTTTGGTATTTTAGATTCTTAATGAATTGTTATTATTCAGAATATTACTTCTGTAATATTTTGAGATGACTTTTAAGACTATGGTATCATTTTAGTCATTAATAATAAGGCGTCACCACCATAGATATAATAAAGAAGAAGAAAGATTTTTCATATTTCTACGGTCACCACAATGTGTTGTGCTCGAACACAACACATAGTGATGACGCTATGATGTGTTTATTCCTAATGGCCCGGCCACACTAAGGAGAAATGCCGTTAATTATCGCGTTGATGGACGTTGAATAGGTGTGGCCACGAATTAACGCGATAATTTGACAACGGCGTTAACAATGCCGTTTCCCGCTTGCCGATAACTCGAGTGGCGGTACATCAAAGGATTAACGCGCGAATTATCGCGTTGAAGCGGCCACACTACGTTTGGACGTCTTTCAAGTGCAATTTGGGTGCGGGAAAACAAAATAAAACATAAATAGATTTACAGTGTACGTTTCCTGTGAATTTGTAGCATCCACCATCTTCTTTTTCTTTGTATTCTTTTTTTCTTTGTTTATTTTTTATTTTATAGGATAGGGTGACAAACTAGCACACAGTCCACCTGATGGTATGTGGATGCTGTAGCCCATAGACGTCTACATCTATCCTCAATTACGAATCAAAATGCAAATGCGTTGTCACCCGTGAGGACTAGGATGGAATGCCTCGTTTCTTTCGTCGTTCGTTCGTTCGTTCGTTCTCTACACTCACCATATGAAACACAGCAGTATTAAGCTACTATTTTACGCTGGTATTCTGTGAGAGTGTGGTCCTTCCCCGGTCGAAACATTTTACGCCGTTCAACGGCAAATTTACCGCAGCTCAACGGCAAATTTAATGCCTTTCAACGGGAAACAACGTTGACCGTTCAAGTGTAGCCACTCATTTTAAATTAAATTTCGCGTTAAATTTAAGGCAATAATTGTTGCGTTTATGGGCAAACGCAACAATTATTGCCTTCATTTTTTTTAATTAACGTTGCTCGTTAATGTAGCCGCAGCATGTCAAATAATCGCGATAATTCGTGGCCACACCTAGATTCAACGTCCATCAACGCGATAATTAACGGCATTTCTCCTTAGTGTGGCCGGGCCATAACAGACGTTATGCCTAAATATTTCTATGTGCCTAAAGGTAAATCAAGCTGACAACTATGGAACTCTATCAGCATTATTTACGTTCATCTGTCTATCTCGTTACCCTTTTGTGCTTAAAGCGATTAGCGACCCGTGAAATCGTTGCTATGCCAAATCGTAAAATATTATTATCGGAATATTTTTAAAAATAATTAAAAATACTTCCACTATAAAATACTATAAAATCGATATAACTGAGGGGTAAACTACAGTGCTCGCACTGCTGTGTTTTGCTCAATCGGGTAAAGAGGAGCAGCATAATTGCAGGTCATTGGCATTCTATTTTAGTCCGAAAAGTCATCGCAAGGTCATTTGGTAGGTGTGCAGGAGCCACTCACCGTCAGGTGGACTGTAAGGTCGTTTTTCACTTCAATTTTGTAAAAGCATACAATTTTTTTATTAAAAAAAAGTCTAAATGACTACTTTTACCCGCCTCAATAACATTTCTA